GCACCCAAGACATGCAGCTTCCCACTTCCAAGAGGCAACATCACTCTGCCTTAGAAGCAGGGGTGAGGAAGGGTCCAGACAAGGAGAGGGCTGTGGCGCTTCAGGCAGCACAGCCATGACAAAAGCTGTAAACCTCAAATAAAAAGACCTGCTGAGTGAGCTTGCTTCCTCGCGAGTTTTACATGGAACAAGGTGCCTTTGTGCCCCTCCCTCCTAACCATGTTACAACTGGATAAATTTATGAATGAAAACTGAATGGGTTGGTTGAGAAAGTGATTAATACAGACTTTTGTTTATTGTAAATGTGCTTAAATAAGGAATTGCTTTCTAAATCTTTGGAACAACCCTCAGCTTCTTTCTTATTAAATACTCTTTTTTCCTTTTTATTGTACTTTCAGAAAATAGATAAAAAGATTTGCCAAAAAAAGATTATTTAAAATCTGAATCTTAAAAATAGAATTTAACTTTAGTTTAGCACAATGGTGCTTAAGCCTTTTAATTTTAACTGCTAGCTCATTATCTAATGCTGTACTAAATTATATTCCAAAATGTTTACAAATACAGTTGTACCTCGGCTCACAAACACCTCAGTTCATGACCAAATCAGGTCACAGACAGAAATTTCGGAAAAATTTTGCCTCAGGTTGCAAACTCCACATTGGGTGATGGACACGATTGCGGCCATGTTCCCACACAAACACGATTGTGATAATGGCCATCTTCCCCAAATGAGCATGATTGCAATCAGGGCCATCTTTCCCTCTCTCAGTCGCAGTCAGACCTGTGGTCACTTGCTGTGAAGCTTATTGAATAATGGCTCCAAATAAAGTGCAGAGCAAGCATGGTGATAAAAAGAACATCCAGAGCAGTAATGAAGGTGACAAGAATGTGCAGATTTTTTGCCAAAATTGACCCTGCACCTGTCATGAGGCTGGACACTCTTCCCACACACTCACACAGGAGCCGGCAGTTAGAGCTTTAAATCTTTTATTCTAAGAAACTTCAAAACTATGCAGACAACAAACAACAAAGGAACTTGTAATGATGATGTTAATGGTGACCTTGTCCCCCTCTTTCTGAGGGGGATCAGATTACGAAACACTCTTGACCCGTCTAGGACACCCCTCCCTGGGTGGGTCAGACAAGCTTCTCTCCCTCCTCCTTTCCATTTCCCTCGTCTCCAATTGCCCCAGTGTGCTCTCCTCCTATCCCGAGCGGAAGCTACACTTTTCCCAGGGTCTTTATATCCGTCTTGTCCTGCCATTTCCATGGTAACCTGCTCACCTCCCTCTGCCCTCATTCTGTTATCAGCTTCTGCTGAAAAGCTGCCTGTCTCCTCTGCCTGAAAAACTTCATCAGAGTCAGAGAGCAGGGGGGAAGGGGGCATGTTTGTACAATGGACACCAGCTAGAAATCTTCCTGCTCTGGGGCTTGACTCTCACAGGGAGCACCCTGCTCTCTCACATGTGCCAACGACTCCTCTGAGTCGTCACACACGACAGCACCTAAGAGACAAAGTAGAGAAGAAACCCCTGAAAGAGATCTCAGTGTTGTAAGCCGCCCCGAGGCTTTGGCGAATGGGGCGGCATAAAAATGTTTTAATAAATAAATAAATAAATAAATCTCCCTGATATCCTTATGGAGGGGGACTCTCCCTCCAAACAATAACCTCCCCCTCACCTAGGTTAGTGTTCTCTACTGTGCTTTGTTACTTTGTTGCTCTTTGTTACTTTGTTTCAATTTTTTGTGATAAAAAAAAATACAGAATGGATTAACCTTATTTACATTGACCCTTATGGGGAAATTTGACTTGGCTCGTGACCAATTTGGGTCATGACCAGAGTCGTGGAATGGATTAAGTTCATGAGCCAAGGTACCACTGTACTCCTCATTTGCAATATTCATAGTGTTCATAATATTTGAATTTTCCTAGCACAGCATGCATGTTTTGCAGTTGAAGGCAGTGCATTAAAGCTCTAAAGTAAAGCTCAACAAAAAAATGCATGGCTTTTATATAGTTTTCTAACCCATACAAAGATTGTGTTTATTTTTTAAAGTGCTCAGTGAAGATTTTTGTATCCACACTTTTCCTAAATAATTCCAGACTTAAGTATATCACAAGAAAAATAGTACAACAGAATCCACCAATGAAACAAACCTATTTTTATTCTTAAGGTGTATTTTTTATTTTCCTTTTAAAGTGAACATCCAGTTTAAGGAAGAGTTTTCACTTGAAATCTTGTGCATTGTATTGTGAACTAATCAAGGTGATCCGATTGCACAAACCCGTTCAGTTTTATTATAGCAGGCCAATGTGGAGTTTGATCAATGTATTGCATGATTTCTTTAAAAAGGGGGGGGGGGAGAAAAAAAACCCTGCTGTCCTGGGTCAGTACACCCTCATCCAGAGTTCACTTTCATTCTTCTCGTCTCCCTGTATGACTAGCAAAATGGCACAGTAGGGCAGTGCACATACTCCTCAGCATAAAAGAGAAGAGCATTGTTACAGAAACCAGGATGTACTTGGCAATCTTCCTAGGTTGATATACTACTGTGTAAATGATTGCACCTTACAGACAACATGTATGTGTAAATACGAGGTGTGTCCAGAAACTAATGAGAATGAAGTTTGTACACTTGAGAAGGGCTCTATGAAGGGAGAAGCTGGCCACAGTCACTTGGGGTGGGGTGCCAGGTATCCTATTCACATGGATCAGTGACATTAACTATTTATGAAAGACTGTAACATGGGTGCTCTAACTGAGGCTTAGGAACTGCATGTGGCTTTTTTGAGTTTATTTTGCGGCTTGTGGCTCAACGCCCATGGGTGCCCATTGACACCCACTTGCTGCTCACTGCTAGCAGCTGCCATCTGCAGGTGCCCACTTACAGCTGTCATACATTTACCATATGGCTCTTTTGTTGAGCAGGTTTGGCCACACCTGAACTGTAACATCTGCCTTATTTCCTCTGCCTGTCTCACTTTTGTATATGCAACAGATGCTGCAGGTAGCCATGATGCCCTTAATGAATCTACCCCTCAGCACGATTGCCCACATGCTTCCTTTACTTCTGAGCTAAATCCCCAGCAGCACCTAGATTGCCAAATGCTTCCTTCAACACATCATGGCAAACAGCCCTGCCTGAACTTAAGAGTCAGATGATCACATGGTAGTGATCATCTGGGCACTGTACTTTCTGTATTCTCCACTCTGTTCTGCCATTCTCGCCATGCATCCTGTTAGCCTCCATGAGTGAAATCTCTTTCCTAACTCTATTGCACTTTATGGACCTCATCCTGATTAGTCTGCTGGGGTTTTCAGGGGCTCTCCCTCATCCCTTTCCTAAGTGTACCTTCATTTCTGCAACACTTCCTAGCTACTTCAGCCCCAAAGCATTTTTTAAAAATAAAATGAAATAAACACTTTTGCCATGGTTTCCTCCTTCTCCTTCCAGCATTTACAGTTCTGAGTGTGCATCATAGGAAACAACCATATGCTATGGATGTTGGATAGACTGAAATTAGCCTGAATTTTTCAGAGTCCAACCTGAGCATTCTGCAGGGTTTTTCAGCTTGTGCAGAGGTTGCAGGGTTTCCAGATCTGTTTTTAAATGTTGCATATTTTTGTACAAATTTAACCACAGAAAAATGCACAAAATAAAGTACACCAATAAAAATGCACAGATAACTCATAGAGTAAACCTTAAAATATACACTATGGGACAGTTTTGTCCAAATTGCATATTTTCAAGAGTGTGAATTTGTACAAATGCAAATTTGCACAAACTTTGATTCACAAAATCCAAGTCTTCAAATTGACATCAAGTCAAACCACTGTACACTGAACTCGGGATATCCTTTGGGTCCATGAGCACATTTGACTGTGTAAGAAACAGTCCTGAACACCTACACAAAATGGCTGCCATAGGAGACATGGTTTGACCAAAAGAACAATTCACCTGCTCAAATGACAATGCACAAGTCAGAGATGGGGTCTGAGCCCCAGTATACTAAGCCTGAAGTCCTATGCATACTAAGATAGATGGGCCCCTCCAACTCCCAAACATGCTGGCAGGAGAATGCTAGGAATTCTGGGACATTTTTCAGTGTCAACATGAGGAGGACTGTGCCCTAAATAATTCATTTGAGTTCACAGTTCTCCACACCAACCAAAGCCTATCTCTTCAAGGGGTAACTCTCTCTCTCTTCCCCCTGCCTCATGCTTCTCATCAGTAAATGCCCCTCCCTGTTTATTTTTCTTTCTCATTCTGAATACCCCCCTTTCTCTGCATTATCCCAGCACACCACTCAGAGATCTTATCCCTTCCCTGTCCCTCTACAAATGCACACAAGCTTTTTTTGTTTTTTAGAAAACCTTGAAAATCCCCTTCCAAACCCCTCTCTTTCCCTCTTTTTCACATGCATACAGTTCTTATCCATGCACGAGTACCCCACCCACCTCAACTCCCCAGATTGCTTCCAGCTACCTTTCCCATACCCCTCTGGCTTCTTTCTCCTTTCCATACATACCCTCCCCGCCACCTAGTAGCCACATGCTCACATCCTTTCCCCTGCAAAAAGATCTAAAATAGCCCGTCTGAGCCCCTTTTGCTCTCCCTTGCCCTTGTATTTACACTTTTTAAACAAAATATCTGTATTGGCAGAAGATAGTGGATACCCCATCAGTCTTTGGTTTTAACTGCTTTTACATAAAGCAGTACCAATTCAAAGCTTTCCAGAATGAGTAATACAGACTACCAATCAATGCCAGTTAACACTAATTCTTCATTAAAATGTGTCTTGACAGCTGATAAACAAAATGATTTACTTTTCAAATCCCATATCCCCATGTGCTTCATTCATAGCCATAAAAATTGGAGTAGAAAATTGGAATGTGTAAATAAATGCACAAGATACTAAACACTGAGGGGTGGCAGTGAGGGAACTAAATAACTTGATGCAGAAGCAATAGAAATCATTAATGCTTTTTCCCCCTTACCTTGTTCATCAAGGAGAATGTTATCAGGTTTCACATCTCTGGAAAGCAGAAACAGGCTTTTAAAGTTTCTCTTGACTATCTAATTATATAATATCAAGTGGGAAGCCACTCTTTTTTTAATATTACAGAAATATCCAGTTACATGAAACAAAAAGTGCTGTGAAACTCACTTTATGTTCTCCAGAAAGTTTAATGAGAAGGCAATACCTTCTTACGTGCTTGCTAATACAAGAACATCATGGTATGAACACAAGTCTAGAATCTATTCATACAGGGTGGGTGTCAATGCTCTTTCAGCCAGAGGACTGAATGTTGTTTGGAGAAGCTCTTGAGGACCACATTTCAGTCATGGGCATGGTCAAAGGGATGGGGTCAAAAAGGGCCAGCCTAACTTAGCTCAAAGCTTATTGCCAGTAATTAAGTCTTACAAGCAGCACATCAAGCAAATCTGCACAAAATTTGGGAAAGCATCAAATGACTGGCAGCCAGTGGAAAGGGGCATGGCCTTCTGGGAAAACTTCCATGTAAACAATTCAAGACAGATTGGTTTAGTACTGGGAAGTCTAAAACTTGGGAACTCCAAAGTTCAGTTCCTCTCTTGGCTATGAAGCTCACTGGGTAAGATCATAGTAACCGTACAAACTTAAGCATGTTTCTGATGTACACTTACTCAAAAGTAGGCTCAAAATTGTTCAGATTTATAGCTAAATACACATAAATTCAATACACAAGATTTTTCAATTAATGCACAAATTACAACTTCTAAAAAGAAGGGGCAATTTTAATCAGGAAAACAAGGCTGGACTTAAAGCTCCCCCCTCCTTCATCATGGTCCTAATTCACAGCACAGGATTCTGTGGCTGCTATTTGCAAAAATACTGAAGAAAGTGGGTAATCTTATCTCCTATCCTGTAGTCTCATCAAGTTAACCCATTCAGTGCTTCTGCACATTTGAAGAAAATCCATTTATGGTAAAACAGCACATCCAACATTTAACCAATAAAATACAAACAAACTTTCATCTATAAGCAACTCTAGTAAGTTGGTCCTAACTGTAACTGTATTCAAAGAAGCCTACACTATATATGAAAATCTGAGACTAAGCTTAAATGATAATTTGGGAATGGAAAAAATAATATATTGTAATGCATAACAAAACTTCTGTGTAACTGTAGTAATCACATGGAAGTATACTGCATGAATAGAGAACAACATGCCCATTGGACTGGACCTGTGACAGGTTGTGGGGCAAAATCACTGAATGGTGACACTTCCATGGCATAAACAGTGGTGTGGTGCTAAATTTTGAGGTGTAGGTCTTCATTATGACAGTCTCCATATCCATAACCCCATGGAGAGTCCAAAACTACAGGCAACTGTATTCATCCAGCTTGCTCTGAACTATATATATCTTTTGTTAATCTGTTGTAAAACTTTTGGATCTTTTTCCACACACCTCAGCTGCTATGAGAACTTTAGCTAAGCTCAGAGGGAAGATCAGCTAAGATTTGAAGGGTGTGCGGCAGATAACACCAATATCCCTGCTATTCAAAAAGTTCCTGCACTGCATCTCTGTCACCACTGGTCATAAATTATCACAAAATCCCACACTAAGAGGGGCCCTTAGGTGTTCATTGCCTAAAAACTGTGCCAGGTTCAAGTTCAGTTTTGTAGATGAGTTTCTACAGGCTTGGAGCCAGCTGAAAAGCTGTCCCAAAAAGAGTTTGGATGTAGATGGGTTTGAATAGCCCTGCTAGCTCCTGACAGCTGAGAGTAACAGATTGTGCAGTTACCTGTGTATGATATGCTGACTGCGCAAATAGTCTAAAGCTGATGCCATCTCACAGATATAGAGTTTCACTGTTTCCTCAGTAAACTGGACATTTTGCTGGAGATGATAACGTAAGTCACCACCCAGGAGCAAATCCACTACCATAAACATGTCTTCCTCATCCTGAAATGAGTACCTGCAGAAAAGGAGCAAAACTGAGGAATCTGAAAAATCACAAAAGGCATCTCCAAACAAAAGCCCTTTTCATTGGAACACACACCTTCCAAACAATAACCAAATCAGGATGCCCCTTCAAAGTTCATACTTCTAAAGAGATGACAAACTCTTCTCATTTGTCCCAGTTCTTTTTGCTCTTTGTCATTATACATACATATCAAGACAAATCAATTGGCGTGTGATTTTGTTTTGGAGTGCTTTTAAGGACTGTCCCTGATTTCAAATCTACCACCAAACTGTTTTCTCAATTACTTTTACCTGCCTCATAAAAACCCTGCTTCTATATATGGAACAACCACATGGCTGCTGTAGTAAGATCGTTACAATCATTTTTTCCCAGGCATAATCAATGGTATTGGAATATCAAGTAGCTCAGCGCATTTCCTGATCCACAGGAAAACAGTGCCATCCATAAAGAGGGGTTCATTGGTGTGACTGTATCAGGAGGGGGGTGCAAGCTAAAACTGCCCCTTTCTTGTTTTTCCATGAAGAACAACACAAGAAAGATGGTACACTCACTGGGCCTTTATTCTCCAGTTACACTTCTCACTGGTTTGCTTCCCACAGCACCTTGGCCCTTGCCTGCTCTGGCTCCCTTCCCTCCTGTTGCTATGGCAATGAACAGTGTCACCCCAGCAGGAACACTTCCCGGTCTCTCCTCTCTGTTTGCACTAACTGCTCTGCCTGCCAGCAACAGCCGCGACAGCTCTTCCCAAACCACATGCACATTTCAGCTTTCTTTACTCTCTTCTGTCCCTCTCTACCTCTCTCTCTTCCTCCCCCTTCCCTTTCTCTGCTTCCTCTTTCTTTATACCCCCTCCTCACACACCACTCCACCCAACCCTGCTGTTCCTGCCTCGGCCCGCAATCCTGTACAGCCGCGCGCTCACTTGCATCTCCTGGCCATTGCCTTCTTGTGAGTTGCTCTCCCCACACAGATTCTCAGCCTCGCCCTGTTGTCTTCAGCCCTGCTCTGTGGAAGGTCCCAGGAAAAGAGGTGAGCCCCTCTGCCTCCTCACATACCCTCCCTCCAAGAGGGGATCACCATCTCCGTGCAAGGGTCAGGGACCCTGGCAGGAAAAGAAATCAGCATTAGCATGTTGGTGACCATGTCTGTGTTTGACTGTAAAGGCATATGACTGTAACACTAAATACCCAAGGGTAAGGCAAAGGTTGTCATCCTTCATCCTATTCAGCCATTATAACGGAGCACGGTCAGTGACCAATGTGAATGGGGCACCCCAGAGATAATGTCTCAGGGCTAGAACAGCCCATTTGACAGCTAGAGCCTCCCTCTCTATTGTGGCGTACTGGCGCTCTCGTGGCTCCAGCTTACAGCTCAAGTAGAGTACTGGATGTTCAGCCGCCCCTTCTCCCTGAGTCAGAACTGCTCCCAAGCTCATAGCTGAGGCATCAGTTTGGAGGATAAAAGGCCAAGAAAAATCTGGCAACCATAAAATGGACTGGCTGAGAAGACAAGTCCTCAATTCTTAAAAAGCTTGTTCCATCTTCTTAGACCATACTAGGGTACAGCTCTGTCTTTTCTTAAGCACCTCTGTCAAGGGGGCTGCTTTGGAGGAGAAATGAGAGATGAATTGCCAATAGTAACTGGCAAGGCCCAGGAACTGTTGTGCTTTCCTTTTTGTGTGAGTCCGTGGCCACTGGCTCAGCTTCTCCACCTTATCTGACATAGGCCGTATCTGCCAGTGCCCTATGATATACCCCAAATAGTGCACCTCCTGTTGAGCTATTCTACATTTGCCTGGATTAGCCGTCAACCTGGCCTGGTCTTAGAGCCATTAGTACTTGCCAAAGGTGGTCTAGATGTTCCCCCCAGGTACGACTGAATATTACAATATCATCGATATAGGTCGCAGCAGAATAGGACAAATGTCCCAAGACTTTGTCCATAAGCCCCTGGAAGGTTGTGGTAGCCCCTTGCCTAACCAGGGTGCAACCACAGCCTGTGTCTACCAAGGCCTCGACCTCCTTCCCATCCACCCTGGCCTGAACCCGTCAAGCTCACTGAGGGGTGGCACACACCGGGGTGGACCACCAGGTTTCCACAAAGTCACACTCCATCAAAGGACAGTCCTGCTGGAAATGTCCCTCATTGCCACATGTAAAGCACACTGGCTTCAGCTGGGATCCTCTTCCTTTCCCATTTGTAAGGTGTGGTGATGCGGGGGGGGGGGGGCGGTGCACGCACTTCCAGCTGGGCAACATTCTTGTGCCTCATGCCCCTTCCAGTGGGTGTTGGTTCAGCTGCTCTTGCCCTCATTGGGCCCCCAGGTGCTTGGGCCCCCAGGTGCTTTCTGTCTCTGGCCCTCCTGCCAGGGTGGCCCTGGCCTGTCTCCTACATCTGGCTCCTCAGTGGTCACAAAGGTCTCCATAAGTATGATGGCCTCTTTTAGGGTTTCAGGCCTCTGGCACCTAACCCAGTTTCTGGCTGGGGTGGGCAGGACAGTTATACACTGTTCCAGCAAGCCCAGTTCAGACACTTATTCAGCACTGTGGACTACAGGCTTCATCCATCTCAGCCCATTAGCCTGAATCTTCTGTCCCAAGGCCCGGGGAGACGTACCAGTTGCATATATGACTTCTCACATCTGCTGTTGATAGGTCTCTTTGGAGACATTCAAAATCCCTAGAATGGGCACCTTAACTAAATCATATTGACCTGCAGCTTCTGGGGTAAGGATATTCACTGCTTCTTGGGCAGAACCTGTGAGGCAAGGCATCAGGATGAGGGCCCACTGGTCTTTGGGCCACTTGGCTGCCAGGGCAACCCTTTCAAATGTATTTAGAAAGGCTTCAGGATCATCTTAGGGATCTGTAGAAGCCCTGGGCCTTTTCCTCCTGTCTGCCTGATCAGGGTCTCAGCTTGAGGGCCTTGTAGTCCTCCCAGCACTTGCTGAAGCAAAGAGATTTTGTTCTGGAGGTGGCCCATTTTGAAGAGCTGGTGAGGGAGGTGAGCTTGAAGGTTGTCTTGGCAGGGGAGGAGGAAGATGGGCGATGAAAACTTGCTCCATGAGCTGCGTCTGATGTGCCGCTAATTGCTGCAACAGGTGTTGCTGCTCCTGGGCCTGAAGCCTTCGCTGCTCAGCCCACCAAGCCATCCAGGAGTCAGCTGAAGTTGAGGGGGGGGTGACCTGTGCCCCCCCATGCCACGCTGCCTCCATTCTCCACTATTGTGACTGTATCAGGAGGGGGGGGTGCAAGTTAAAGCTGCCCCTTTCTTGTTTTTCCATGAAGAGCAACACAAGAAAGATGGTGCACTCATCGGGCCTTTATTCTCTGGTTACACTTCACACTGGTTCACTTCCCGCAGCGTCTTGGCCCTTGCCTGCTCTGGCTCCCTCCCCTCTTGTCACTATGGCAATGAACGGCATCACTCCAGCAGAACCACTTCCCAGTCTCTCCTCTCCGTTTGCACCAGCTGGACTGCCTGCCAGCGACAGCCACGACAGCAATTGCCAAACTACATGCACATTTCAGCTTTCTTTCCTCTCTTCTGTCTCTCTCTGCCTCTCTCACTTCCTCCCCCTTCCCTTTCTCTGCTTCCTCTTTCTTTACACCCCCTCCTCACACACTACTCCACTCAACCCCGCTGTTCCTGCCTCGGCCCGCAATCCTGTAAAGCTGCGTCTCCTGGCCGTTGCCTTCCCGTGAGTTGCTCTCCCCACACAGATTCCCAGCCTCACCCTGTTGTCTTCAGCCCTGCTCTGTGGAAGGTCCCAGGAAAAGGGGTGAGTCCCTCTGTCTCCTCACAATTGGCAATAATGGGTTGTGGCTATCTAGCCTCCTTTTCATAAATGTGCCTAGGGGCATCACTGGCTCAACATACGTACTCAACTTACTTGCCAGTGTAGAGCCCTGTCTTGGATCAGAGATGAATATGGACTTATCCAGGATACTTGAATCTATAACATTGTGGAAAACATGTGGGACACAGACTGCATCTGTGCACACACGCATGTGCATGCGCGTGCACGCGTGCGCACGCGCGCACACACATACACACAGAGAGCTAGCTTTGCAGACTCATCCACTCCCCAAAGTGCCAACAAATGTAGGCAACTTGTGGCCCTCCAGATGGTTTCCTGGTGATAGTCCAATACACTGCATTACATAGACACTAATCAGTCAGATAATCCTACTCTATGTCCTCAGAGTCAGTGGGACCATGACATCTTTTCAAAGATTGGTTGTTCTATCATCCCAACAAAGGTTTAAATCCAGGTGATGTCTGATCCAGCAAGAGGCTATGAGCAGCTTATCCCTGTCTGTTCTAATCAGTCAGGACTTATCTTTGGGGCTGATACAAATATTGGTGAGTAGCCACATCTTCTGCAGCATGTGGCTGTTTCTTCCTATCCTCTGTCCAGTCTGCCTTATATTCAACTATGACAGCTGCAATCCTATCCTGACTAAACTGGGAGCAAGCCTCAATGAAATGTTACTTCAGAACAGTCATGAATAGGATTGCACTGTCAGAGTGCTTAGGAATACTTTACATGTAGCAGATTTCACTGGAATTCTAGTGGTTTCCATAGCAAAGCGTAAATGGCAGACAGATTCCTAAGTAATTCGAGATATGACACCTCACATGGTGGGAGTGAGAGAGGTCTACTGTTGGTATTGCTACTCTACTGCTGCCATTTGAGGAATTTCCTTCTGTTTCTTGGCATCCTCAGGTATACAAAAATAACTGATTTGTTGCTATGAAAGCTCTTAACTTACAGAACAACACTGGAACTGCATTTGTCCAAACCAGAATGGAAACAATGATATAGTTAACAATAACAATTTTATATAAATCTGTCCATAATAAATAAGGTAAGCAAGTAATCAAAACCAAAACACAACAGCAGCAGCAGCAGCAACCTGTCCATTCTTTATTTGCATGTCACATATGTTACTTTCCCGCCATACCCTAATCACACAAACTCTCTCAGAACTCAACTTTCTGTTTCCATTTCAGGAAAGAAACCAATCATGCTAAAGTTCCAGGATCTTTCTAGCCAAGTAAAATAATAGGTTTGCCTCCTTTCTTCCTTCTTAATAATCAGCATATAACCAGTGGGATAGTAGTGCATTTTAAAGTGCAGCATGTCAATGCCTAAATGCAGGCAAATATGTTGAGTAATATCAATAAACCAGTTCAAGCAGTTTTTGTCTCCACCTGGAGCAAATGTTTTGTAAAGGTAATAGGGCTTAATTGCCCATTCAGGACCATGCCTTCCTACACATACTTAGCACTATAACAGGGAAAAATATATTGTCATCAGGAGAATCCATTTCCCTACAGTTGTGATGGCAATTGACCATAATTGACACCAATTGACTATAACCTTACTACTTCCAAGACAAAATGGCAGATGATGTCAGCATCCCAACTCATCAAAACTGGTGAGTGTTGCATCCCTGTGAGCCCTAGCTCTGGTATACCTTTATGCATAACCCCTAACCATGCTATCCAAATGCTTTACATTTTTCTCTTTTATGTATACATAAATACATACAAATGCATACACATTTCTGTACTACAGCCCAAGAATCCCACTTTGCTATGGGGGTACATGCTGAAGATCAGAGCTCTTTTGTAGAAATACTGGGGTTTCACTAGTGTTAACAAAAACCAGCTACTACATTGGCAGACTCCATTTTCACTGACACCTTTCTGAACCTACCACCAGGACTCTGGATGTTTTGCAGGTCTAACTTTTGCTTATTATTTCCTATGGACAGTGCCATTTTTCCTTACTGCATTTTGCAAGCTAGACCCTACACACCAAACCCATGCCTGACAATGCCTATAGCCACTTTAGCACTTCTACTCCTGCAAACTGAAGTGTATATACACTGACCCAACTAACTATTTAAGCTCCCCACTCAATGTGTCCCTAAAGGTGGGGGAGGGCTTCTCTACATGAGAGAATTAATCTCATGAGATGTGGCTTCTTTTTCCATTTATGCTAGTGGATAGAAAATGTATCTTTTACATGCCCCCCCACCCCATGGTTTGTATTCTTTCTTTTCTATATATTTTGTTAACCAACTACAAGGTAGATTTGCAGTAATACCTAAGGCTTTTGCTTCCATTAGTCATGATTCAAACTGTAATACCAGACTGTCATCACTCAAAAGAAAAAAATGGGGGAGGCTGTGCAATATGGCATGGGAGGCTGCTGGAAGTGTGTACATGAGGCAGCAGTGAGAAAAAATTTGGGTGTCCCAAACTGTGAGAGAAGTACTTCCCACTAAGACAAAGTCACCACTGGATACAACTCATGATTCTGGGTAGGAACATTAACTTGACAAAGGGTAGAACAGAGCCCCAAGCTTTTAAATTATATCAGAAGAGATTCACCAGAGATTCACCAAGAAGACATGCTCAATTTCCTGCAGGATCTCTAGTTCTCTGAACACATTCCGAACCTCATCCCTCTCAATGCACTGCTGCTTGTTCATGTACTTCATGGCATACATCTTCTCTGTATCTCTCTTTTGCACAATGCACACCTTGATGTAAAAAAGGGAGAAAAGAAAAAGTAAGTTGTGTTAGGCTTGTCCATTCTTATTGGCTTATTCACCCAGCTGTTAAAGTGTGATTCAGGTATTATCTTTTCATGATTACTCCTTAGTTTGTCTGATGAATACAATCACCTCCCCACAACAGGATTAGACTTTTATCATACAAGTCTCCCTGTAAACACAGGCTTCCAATGGTTGTGCAGAATTCCCACTTCTATGCACAAGGTAGCTGTTCACAACCTGTTCACCTTGGGCAAGAAGCCAAGACACAGCAATGGCAAAAAAACAACACACATCCAACAGTTGTGAGAATCATCTATTGGGAAATACTTAGCAATCCAGTTAAAAGTTATGGGAAAGTTATGGTTCCAGTCCCTCTCAGAACCAAGTACTTCATCATTTTGGAAACATTTAAATATGACTGAACAAGTTCTAAGAACAAATGGATTTTGTTGTCAAAAGTTCTGGGGAAAAATAAAGCATTTGGCAATATCATTTGCTCAAAAAAGGCAAAAGACATAGCAACTATCACGGCAGTACAAATAGGGTGGCCAGATTCCAGATTTCTCTGGCATTTAGTATCAACAGAAGTCTGTATACAAGGTGCACTGGAGGACATGCAAGTTCTGTATTTCTTTCTGTAGAAATTATGGGCAATGCCACTTCAAATACATTGGATTGCCTGAGACAAATAACAAAATGGCACCAACTCTCATTCCATGTACAAAAAGCGAGCCAAACTAGCACTTGGACTTGTCTTCCACATTGATAGACAGTGTCCTCCACTGCAACTGAAGGCAGCAGGTTAACTTACACAATGCAGAGCAGGCTGACTATTGCACAGCAATTTTCTTCCACATCTAGGTGCCATTTCGCAGAATCTGAGGTGACTGCTTCACTTTGCCTAATGATAGTATCAGCCTGGGTCTGATGATCTGATCCATCACATGTAAGACTGTGTGGGAGATGACCACAATACAGTTACTTCCCTCTCCAGCAATGCCTTGGCTCCCATCAGCTGGTGTGGGAAGTAGCTTTGTTTTCACTTCTAAAATTACTGATATTATTGGAGTAGTGCATGAAAGAGATGTGCAGCAGTAGCTCCCATGCCACAGGTAACCTCAGAATCATATGGAAAAATGCCAGCACCAAGCCCCACTTTCATATAGACTCACATTAATAGATTGGCACAGGAGGGATGCAACAACTTTAGGAAAGATTGTGCCTAAATATGAGGGGTTTGGTGAATTGCCCTTAATATGGAATAAATTGAAAATACAGCTGTGGTGCCGACAGCACTACACATTATCATCATATTACATCTATGTTTCACCGCCTGACCTGGCTCCCAGTTCACTTCTAGGCTTGATTCAAACTGATGGCTCTGACCTTTAAAACTACCTGAAAGACCACTGGACTCCACATTCATGTGCCCCTACACTAAGTCCTTCAATGAAGGCTCTTATATGCCATCTGTGTTAAGATAAGTGGCTAGTGAGGTAACCACCCTCACACGGATGCTAGTCTGCCTGTGGTATGGTTGTTCTGCAGACCTTTAATGTCATTTTGGTGTCAGGTAAAGACTTTTTATTTTCCTTGATTTGTAAAACATTTGCACTTGATTTGTATGCTGCTTGGTCTTTGTTCCACTGGCTTCTTTAATAACATTTTTATGTTCTGGGATTTAGATGTTCTTGTTTTGATGTTCCTGTTCTGGTTTCTTCTAGTGCTATTTTAACTTTTTGTTAGTTGCCCTGATCACAGGCTCTAGGGCAGGATATAAACAAAGTCTGACAAGTGGTCCACTTCATAGGAAACTGCCTCTAGGAGGTAAAGCAATTTCAATCTAAGTTGGTCCAGCATTGTTAACTCAGATTGGCAGTTGTTCTCTGGTATTCCTTCTATCACCTGCTACCTGAACCAGAGATAGAACTCAGGATGGACCTTCATTTATGTGCAATTTTGTTCAGATTTCTCTAAATGTATGCATCAATCGTATGCACCTTTGAAACACAAACATTCCTTCCCCATTGATTAAAGTGTGTTTGGGCTCATTTTTCAAACATGCATTTTTCATACAATTTTTAAAGTGCATGCATGTTATCAGACACTTTTCTTTTGCTCTGCAAATCACATTGCAAGATCAGACATGTATGGACTTTGACCACAGATTGTGTTTGAGTTGTTCATTCTAGGAGATGCAAACAGGGTAAATCCTATGTTATTCCCTCAGAGACTCAGGATTTAACTCTTCTGTGAACAAGAACACAAAAGGCTCAGAAAAAATGTATAATGCATCATATGTAGTCTATGGGTGATGCCATGTGGTACAATTATTGGATTTGCACATATATCTAGCTCTTGTTTCAGGTTTGTAGCATTTCTATCTGGCTGGCTTATGGTGGTGGACTCTCCCACACTAGAGACATTCAAAAAGAAACTGGACAGCCATATGAGTGTGATGGTGTAAAGTGGTGTCCTGCAACAGCAGGAGGTTGAATCTGATGGCCCCTTCCAACCCTACTATTCTATGATTCTAGATTTATATTAGTAACTGCATCTCATCTGTGGGGCCCATCTTCTTCTCCAGTTAGGATTCACCCATGACCTGATCTTTTCAACTGGAAAGACCAAACATTGAAACCTAGGAGCTTCAGTATGAATGGCAGATGTGGTGCCAGTGAATGATGTTCCCTCTTAAAAATGAAAAAGTTCTCAATAGTAAAACTTTCCTGAATGTGTACAAAGAGACTTAAGCATGCAGGTTTCTTAACAGCAAAACTCCAGACATACATCAATTTTCAAGTTACAGCATAATCTCTGGAGTTCATCAAGCAGAAATTATCTCTGTTTCTATTAGCCAAATAATTTCATTACCATCCAGACAACCAGAAACAGGATGTGTTACCCTTGAGATGCCCATTTTCTGCAATGAAACTGATGCCTGCAGTTGCTTGGTAGCAGAAGGTTAATTTGGTTCTTCATTTAAAAAAAGAATCTTGTGCTGAGGACTACAAAACTGGTAGGTCCCCATTATTATATCCCTGTACTAGTATTTTATGTTGGACTATATTTTATGCTTTCCTTGGCTTCTTTTAAGCACTAATGAAACATTTAATGAGAAGGGAGCTATTTGAAAATGCACTAATAATTCTACACTAGCCTCAATTATATCCATTGTCTTTTAATTAGCGGATATATTTATATTATGAAGCACTACAAGCATTTAAAAAACAATCTAATGGGGGGTGGGGGGGTGGAGCTGGTTCAGATGGACTCCAGATGCTGAATTCTGACTCCTCTTGACCATCGAAAGAAAATGATTAAAATATACTCAAATAAAAATCAAGAAATACTGAAAAGTGCATAAAACGTGAGTTAATTCCTGTTTCTCTCCTTGGAAATTTTGAAATGCAGATGTGGACTGTGAGATCTGCAAAGAGTCTGTTTTTGTAATCTGAAACTGCTGGAACTTGTCCAGCGTAAGCCTGCACCATGACTTTTTATTTTGAAAGTTTAAAAACAGCTTGGAGAGTGGAGGGGAAAAGGGGGGGGGGTCGGCTTTGAATGGCTGATAAGAGAAGAACTGAAATAGAGTTAAAAAGCTCTAATCTGTAAAAATTAAAACAAATAATGGATGAGACTTTCCTCTCTGCCCGCATAATTCTGCGAAGGCAGAACGCGCTCCAAGGGAGCAAAGTGCAGGGAGCCAAGGTTCCATTTGGATGCCAGGAAGCACTTCCTGACAGTCAGGACCCCGAGGGTGTGGAATGGGCTTCCCTGGGAGGTGGTTGAGGCCCCATCGGTGCGGGTGTTCAAGGATAGGCTGGACGTCCATATGGTGGGCATGTCGTGAGCGGAGCCAGCTGGTGCCAGAGGTCAGACTAGATGGCCCGGGAGACCCCTTCTGACTCGCTCTGTTTTCTATGTTTCTATGTTTCTAGTTGGAAAACCGAGAAGGTGCTGAAAAGTTAAACACAGGAAAATATTGGGATAGAGCTATGATGAATGTATAATGTCCCAGGACTAGCTTTTTTGTGTTATCTTTCTGTTACAGAGATAAGGAATATAGAAAATAAATAGAACAGAAGAGAAGCGGAAGTCAGCTAGTGAGAATATGCAGACTGTATCTTTACTAATAGCAATCCTTGAGCAATCCCTAACCCTTGAGCTTCCTCTGCTGGTTGGATGTTAAATTATCTGCTGATTGAAAGACAAATTGCAATTGTGGACTGTAAATAAGTCATTACCATAAATTCAAGAGTTTTCTCCTCCTAGTTGGATGTTAAATAACAACTGTGAATTATAAAAAAGTTATTATTACAAATCCAAGATTTTCTCTGGTAGCTGGATGTCAAATGTAGCAAGAGTGCAGAAAGCATCTGGCAAAGATCTAAAGGGGAACAAGGCCTTTCTCATAAACTTCATCCATCGGATTTGTGTCTGAAAAGAGTAGAGAAATGTTGTGAAATGGATGTGAAAAAAAAAAAAATCACCAGAAAAATCAATGACCCTACCAGTACCTCAATCATCAACACAACCAGAGAAGCTTGATATACTTTTACAGGAATTCAGAGAAATGAAGACAGATATGAAAAAGGATATGAAGAAATTAAATGTTAAAATAGATAATATGGGTGGAAGAATAAAAGATTTAACTAAACAAATGCAAGAGAATAAATAATTACAGAAGTGAAAATTCAGATGGGAGAACAAGATAAAAAGTTAAACAATCAGATGATTAAGATAGACCAGGTCTTCAAAAGCATGATTGAGATCCGGGATAGACAACGAAGATCGAATTTACATCTTAAAGGATATCCAGAGGATGGGAAAGAGAATGAAGATAAATTGATTCAATCAATATTGACTGGGCTAAATCTATTCTTCCAGAAGTTTCTTTTACATGACTTGATATTGATGCAATACATAGAGTTGGCCGAAGAAGAGTTAGATGGAAAACACTGAGAGATATTGTGGTTCGATTC